TTTTCCCATCACCAGGAGGGTTGTGTTATTTTGTAGCTTTATTGTACCAGTGCATTCCTTACCTGGATTGCCCGTGTGCATGCCCACCCTGCTTCTTTTCAGAATTGAAGCCAGGAAGGTGGTCGTCATTACTGTGGCACACACTTTTTTTTTAAAAAAAATTGTGCCTGATACATCAATACATTGCTAAAATTATGTCATTGGACAGGCCACCACCATTACATTACTGGTGAGTAATATTGTTTTTTAATTTATAGGAAAATACATTGAAACATGGGTATGCCAATGTCACTGGGGGCGGGAGAGTGAGGAGAGGGGTTGATCGCCAGTACTGCTGCATGGATATCCCAAGCCTATTGTGTGCAATGAATTTCTGCAGGAGCAGCCAGTTCAATAGAGGGATACTTTCCTAAACAGAAGCCCCTTCCCAATCCACATTTCCTCTAATTTCCACCCCTACTGTGTCCAGGTCCTCCCCCCCCCCCCGTGTAGGGTTCTGTTACAACCAGAATGTAAGGGGCTGGAAAGAATCACTGTGGGTGCACAGGAAAGGAGGAAAGCTGTAGGAGGAAATAAATCAGTACTGCTAAAATTTCTTGGGACATTGGTCCCGGAATATAAACCATGTGACGACGATTCAGTACAACAGAGGTATGAGAAGTATCGGAAGAAGCCGAATACATTTCCCTTATGTGGCTAGGGCCAAAGATTTAAATAAGAAATCACTCCGTGATCAATAAATTTGATTACAGCACAGGAAAAAGGCATAGGAATAGACTTAAAATTCTTATGCAGGAGGAAAGTAAGAAGTGGAGTTTCCCCAAGAATATGCACTGCAATTACTCCTTCTAAACATTTTAATAATTCACTTAAAACTAGGGTTGGGCAGTGAGATTGCTGAGGCATCAATTTATATAGTTTGGTAAAAATAACAAGGAATTATAAAAACTCCATAATCAGCTCATGAAGTTAGATGAAAGAATAATAAAGCGCCAGATGCTGTGGCAGCCTTTCACCTGTCTTTTCCTTTGTAAAGTCACCTGCTCTCCTTAAAGGTTGCAGACGACCATGTTTACTTGGCCATGTTTTTTCTGATGCGTTCTTTGGCGGTACTAGCACAATATGGGTTTTTAGTGGCCAGAATGACTACCTCTGTTTTTAATGTCGAAAAAGGATCCAATAGCCAGTTCAGTCAGCTTTTATGTGCAATTGACTAGAGGGGCCATCTTCATCTCAGACAGTAAAGTATCTTGGGGATAGCCTTTGCTGTCCCTGTTCTTAGCAGTCACATGATGCTTCCGAAACACCACCGCCACCAAATTTTTTTATTTCTTCTCAAAGTGTCAGACAGAACATGACTTTTCAGCAGAAGCAGATGTGATATTTTATGTGTTTGCTTAGGGTTTCTGATTCCCAGAAACTATTAGGTTATGGCAGCAATTAAAAAGAAATAACCATTATGAAGGAAAGAGAGCAAATGAGCTTATGGAGTGTGCCAGTATTTTTCTCATAGGACTGTGAGAGGATACAGAAATAGCTTGAGATTATTGCTTGATCATGTGATTGTGAAACAAAAGCATGTGTTTTAAGCTTCATTTTCCTTGGAAGGTATTATGTGAGAAATTTTCTTTCTAGTGTCCATAAACCAAGGAACGAAAACCTTCAGAACACCAGTTATTATCTTATAGTCTTACTTTCTAATGTTAATGTATTCTCGAAGGCTAATTTTCTAATTTTACTTTCTTATTTAGCTGAAGCCTGATGTATTTTGATAAAGATCCCTGGTAATTGCTGAAGATCTTTTCGGAATCTTTAAGAGATACTTGAGATTACAGTAGACCATTATCGGCTAAGCTAGATAGATCAATAATATTGCTGAGTTTCTCAAAGCCATATTTAGCCAGTTCACAGCTCTGCACATCTAGCTTTTGGCCTTAGGCTACAATTTGTCTCTAGGGCTGATGCATTCACACACATTTTTGAATTGGTGTCTTCCATTGTGACTTCAATCATATCTATAAATGGTTCAGAGGTAGAAAGCAAGTTCCCTGTTGAGATGGAAGAACCAATGTTTGAATCCTCAGATAAACAGCTGAATGGGTACACAAGCAGGAGAGTATGCAGTGGTGCCTTGCATGACAACGTTAATTCGTTCCAGCGAAATCGCTGTAGAACAAAAATGTCATAAAGCGAAATTAAAAAGCCCAAAGAAACGCATTAAAACCTGTTTAATGCGTTCCGATGGGCTGGAAACTCACCATCCAGCGAAGATCCTCCATAGGGCAGCCATTTTCGCTGCCTGTGCAGCGAGGAATCCGTCCCAGATAACAGCGCGGGGCCATTTTGTTTACCCAGCGACCATTTTGAAACAGCCGATCAGCTGTCCAAAAATCATTGTTTTGCGAAGAATCGGTTCCCGATGCAGGGAACCGATCATCGCAAAGCGAAATTCCCCCATAGGAAACATCGTAAAGTGATTGCAAAAGCGATCGCAGAAAGTTTATTGTAATGTGGTTTCGTCGTTAAACGGAGCGATCGTAAAGCGAGGCACCACTGTACTTTGATTCTTTTCTAGGTCAGCTGAGTTGACTTTGTTGAGAGTTCTGGGAACTTGCTTAAGTTCCAGTAGAATATAAAGTGGAAGGCCAGCTCTTTAAGGTTAGAATTAGCAGTCGAAGTACCCTTCTACCCAATTGTTCTTGGTATCCACCCTCACCAAAGCCTAGCACTTTAGGAAATAAGATTCAGGAAGCGATCTTTAAGTATGAAAGGTTTTGTGTATTTTACTCACTTAAAAGTCCATTTCTAAAACAGGCACTCATTAGATTTAAATTTGATAGAAAGGAAAATAGTAAAAATAAGGTTTGTTTCCTCATGGCTGGGAGGATCTCTAGGGTTCAGAGATCCAGCCTGGAGATCTAGCATCTTCTAAGGTGAAAAAGGGGTCTGAGACAAAATGGAGTCTCTCAGAACGCGTGAGGAAGAGAAGGGAAGAATAAGGGCAGAATTTCTCTAGCCCAGCAAAAACAAGCCCCTCTGATTAGTTAGCATGCAAACAAACAAGCAAACAAGTTAGTCTGTGATGGAGGCTCTTCCTCCCATATCTTGAAATTTGCATCAAGATTGCTAACTAGCCAACAGACTTGAAGTGAATGAATGTATTTGCTGGGAGGCAGAAGGTCACATTTCATTGAGCATATGCTCATGGCTTCTGTCCAGCAGGCAAATAATCCTATAGGACACTCTGTGCAAAATTTAAGATCACCCTCACAGCCCTGCTGGCTCTAACTTTATTGGATTTGTTCTCCTGAATAGTTAGCTAAATGCATTGGCTGGGATAAAGCAATACAGTACCACAATGGCAAAAGTCAATAGATGTACTGAGATAATTTTTGTCCCAGCTGGGTTTCTCCTGTTTGTTTTTGCTTTTGTTTGGCCGTGCACAGACACCAGTTGGAAGACATTGCTGAGCACTGTTTAGCTGACAATGACAATGGCTGAAATCCTGTTGCTTAGGATAGAAAATTATACTAAAGGCGGCCCAAGGAGTTTAAGACAACTCCTTGGTAAGTTCCATTGATTCAAATGAGCCCACTCTATCTGCTAAAGTGAGGCACAACTAGAATAGGCCCATTTGAATCAGTGGAATTTACAGGGGACTTGACTCATCAAATCCTCATTAATTCAGTGGGTTTTCTCAAGTATGAGTTACTAGGCTAAACAAGAGAATTCTAGCCAATGCTATGGATGGCAGTGTGGGTTCTGTAACTTGGAGTGATTCTGGGGAATTAAAATGTCCCATCCTAATGCATGCAGGTTAAATTGTATCTCTATACTGAACTTTGTTCCTGTATATTAACAAAAAGGGGTCCCTGACTAAGAGAATCCATGTGTGGTTGACCTCTAGCCAGGATTGTCCTCATGTCTTAACAAATCTCTCTTGGCAATTAGAATTGTGTGACTAGCCAGATTCTTTTCAATAGTTGCCAGCCAAGAATTCAAGTCTGCTCATGAATTCTTGGTATGAGTTTTCTTCATCTGTTTACTTGATTTTTCCTTTTCTTATTTTTCCTATTCTATGTCCACTCCCATTTATAGTTTGAACTTTACAATTGGATGGAAAGAACAAATTATGAAGATTGATGTGATGACACGGCTCATGAAAGAAGGAAGGACATCTGCCTACAGAATGATTGGGGGAAATGATTAAGCTCTTTGAGAGATTTCTCCAGTCTAACTTCTTGACATACTGTACATTTTAACAGTGCCCGTGAGGAATATTCTTCTCTGCCTTTCCTTAGGAGCATTGTTTCCTAAACTTTTGTCCCTCTAGGTGTGCTGAAGTTAAGCTCACAGAAAGAACAGTCATCTGGAGGATCAAAAGCTTTCGAGTTTGTATCCAGAGCTGAGCTTGCCTCCCTGTTTTCCTTCACCCCCTTTGGTTCCTTTTCACCTGCCCATCTCCTCCTTGCATTGAACCTCTGCCTGATTAGCTCAGCACATGGAACAGGCAGCATTTCTGTGGAAGCTACTTTAGCAGTAGCTCATGAACCAAATGGGGGGGGGGACTCACTCCAAAATTAGAGGATAGCCCCCTTGCCCCAGTCACAAACAGCCTATGTCTACTGCATAGGTCTTGAGTTTGAAATGCAGATTTAAAAATGAAAGGAAAAACCAAACACTGTAGTACTTTTAGGACTAACAGATTTAAATAAATATGTTCCTCTTTTTCATCAAAGAGAAGAACAAAGTGAGAAGTAAAAATCAGATGAGTGTTGTGGAACTTGGAAGAGACCTCTCTGGACACTTCCCATGTGGTTACTTAGATTTGGATTCCAAGAATCCACCACTAAATTTCCCAGTGTCCTGGGTACCTGTATTTGATACGATTGCTACGTATTCTCTGTGTAACTATTTACTAGCCTTTCTGGGCATAGCAAGAGGCAGAATGCATTTCTACATCTTATCTCTTACCTAGTTCTAAAGAATGTGGGCTGCAGAGTTAGGCATTTCTACATCCTATCTCTTACCTAGTTCTAAAGAATGTGGGTAGAACCATATAACCAAGCTTCAGTTCTTTTTGGTCCCTTTGACCTCGGTGGGAAAAGGAAGCTATATTTATCTATCCAAGTGAACTCAGTGAGGGGCAAAGATAATGGGGAAGAGATCAACAGGTAGATGGTAGGGCTTCCTAGTGAGAAGAGTTTTAATAGGCTATTCTTAATCTTAAAACAAAAGAAGCTATACACATGATTCCCAAAATTTGGAAAGAAAGCTGAATCAATTAATCTTGGCTTGTCAAATCTTGGCATAAAGATTACCACTGGACACTTTACAAGCTGGAGTGATCTGCAATTCTTTCTTCCTTTAGCCTGGCTTCAATTATTAGAGGCCACTCCAGTCCTCATAAACATTGTAATTGATTTCATATTTACCCTATTTCACCTCCTATAAAAGCTAGTAGAAGTCTTCGGAATTCTCAGCTGTTGAGAGGCTCTAGACTACTGATCACCTAGCAAGGTAAGTGTAAGTCCCTTGTACATGGATGCATTTAGGGACCATCGGTTGCTTGTCATGGGGACTGATAAAGCTTGATAGGACACAAGGCAGAGCAGAACAGAGGCACAGGCAGAATGTAAGGGGCAAAATGTGGTGAGCCGGTGAGGGAAATGGATATCCAATGTTGTCCTCATAGTGGGGGAAACAGCTTTTGCTCAGTCTTTTTCAGCAACTACTAATGCACAGGTATAATAATTATAATGGTGGTGAACTAAATCCAATCATTTGGGGGGCTGTGTATAATGGGGCTAACAATAATGTGCTGTCAAATGAATTCTGACTTGTGGAGATCCTTGGCAGGGATTTCTAAGTACTCAGAAGTGTTTACCATTGTTCTGGGTGTGTGTGTGCAGTTTGGTTAGGATAACACAGTCTGTCTCTTTTTCTGGGACACTCAGCAGGGAACTGAACTCCCAACCTCTGGCTCCACAGACACTTACCTAATTGACTGAGCTATCCAGCTAGTTATAATAATTATGTGCCGTCAAGTCAATTCTGATTTATGGCTCCCTTTCCAGGCTTCTCAAGGTATAGAATACTTAGAAGTGGATTACCATTCCTTTCTTCTGGGGTGCTCTGGGCAACCCCAGAAGCATCAACCTGACATGTAGTTTGAAGTTTCCTGAGGGCTGGGAATGGGGTTGCTTGTGGATGTTTAGGATGTATATCCAGTTTTTTTGAGGCCGCCTGTGCCCCAAGGAAAGGGAAATGAAGCAAGGCCTCCAAACTCCCAGTTCCGGATACTGTAATTCGGTTAAGGACTGATGTCTGTACATTATCCCTTGTCAGAAGAGAAACGTTTATTTTTTGGACTACAACTCCCAGAAGACTAAAGCATGCTGGCTGTGGAATTGGAGGGCTTTGCTACAGAATCACAGCCAGGGAGTTAAAGTTCCCACTGTGCTTCTCTTGAGATGAGGCAGGCAAGATTACATGGGGTATATGTGAGGAGTATAGGGGCTAGTACTCTGCTACCTGTGTGACCTGGGGCAAGACATACAGTCTCAGAGCATCACCCAAAGGAAGGAGTGGTTAGACTTCCAAGTATTTTAATGCTAGAAAATGTGGAGATGGTTGCCATAAGTCTCATTGCAAACAATTAATTTTAATTAGTAAAAAAATAGATGTATTTCCCATCTCTGCTTTCAGTATATTGGGATTCTGGGAGGGATGAGGGTTTGATTCAGTCCTCAATAATTTTAAAACATCCATACATTTCCCACCCATTTTAGCTGTTAACCTGCCAATGTACTCCCCAGCCTATTTACTGATGAGAGAGTGATTGCCCAGTTAGGATTGAGATGCATGATAGACACAGGATTCGCTGTATATAAAGCGGAACAAAATCAACATTTACAGTGCACACCTTACCCCTGTGGTGTATATTAGTGGAGACAGTACAGGCCCATTAAATATGAGACATTATCCAAATAGTGTTTTCCTTCACTCTGAGAAGCTCATACAATTTAAAACAAAGCATTTTCATGCTTTACTTCTGTACAAATTTGAGTCCACTCCTTTCTGAGAACTGTCAGCCTAAAATCAGCAGAATCAATATCTTTCATTAAGCACATGCTTTTTTGAAAGGAATCCAGAATTGTATTGTATTTTTATATATCCTGTCTATTTACACACACACACACACATACAGAGTGTAACATCAGAACTATCTAATTGGTTTCAGTGGAGTTTAGTAGTACAGTACATGTTTGTTTTACAATGTATTTTTGGACACATGTACTCAGAAGTAAGCCCTACTGAATTCAAAAGAATTTATTCCCAAATAAGTCTCCATAGGGATGAACTTAAATTACTCAAAAATCCTAAAGCGTTCTGTTAGTTAGCAGCTCTCATATTTGAACCTGGTAGAATTTGCTTCTAAGATTGTCATCTCCTGAGATATATGGAATGGAAACCACTTCTGAGTTGTGTACATCTAGAAAACCTGAGAGGATTGTCATAATTGTCCTGATGGCAATTGTAATTGTATTTTAATCATTTTATCTTTTATTGTATTTTAATTGAATTTTAATTGTTGTAAGCCGCCCAGAGACCTTTGGGTAGAGTGGGTGGCACATAAGTTAAATAAATAAATAAATAAATAAATAAAAACAAAACAAAACAAAATAAAATAAAATAAAATAAAATAAAATAAGTCAGAAGTGGCCTTATCATACTCAATGTGGCCTGGAGAGGAGCCCAGAGTGAGTTCAGGGTTAAAGCCTGGGAAGAACATTGTTTGTTAGGCCTACGTCTGCAGCACAGCACAACAGCTGTGCTGAGGCTGGCTCCCTCAGCATAGTTCCCCCAGTGTGTCCTCCTCATACCACTCAACAAGCAGGTTTAGTCAATGGTGGAGCAGCATTCTGTTGAGTACGATGCAACTGCCATTTTAATTTTGCAAAGTGCCTGCAAGATACCACCACTCTCGGCTGTTGAAAAATAAGTATCCCAGTGATCCTTGCTAAGGGACACTGGCCCTGTATTTATCAAGGTTGAAGTGTGGCTTTCCAGATGTTGCAGAACTGCAGCTCCAGCCTTTTCTAGCATAACTACGGGGAAAGGATGGAGGCAGCTGCAGTCCAACAATATTGGAGTTCACGGGTTGTCTGTGCCTGGCTAAAGTGTACAATTTTCAGAAGAGAGAGATGAGGAAGAAACAATTGACCATTATTTTTCTCACAACTCACTTGAAAGCAACAGACAAGGCTAGCAATCATATTTGCTTCTGTGTAAAAATGGCTTGCTTTCCAGTATTTTAGTACCAGAAAACCCTGTAGGTAAAAATTTATTTTCCTGTTTCCAAATGTGCATGTGCTGCTGTTTGTGTTTTTGTTTCAAAGCATTTTGTACTGTACTTTCCTCTTCTCAAAGCAGAGTGACTATCTGCACAAAAAAACAACAACAACCAACTGAAGATCCACAGAAGTCACCTGTTTCTCTCCTTCAACAGTAGAAGGATGAATAAAATCATTGTTTATGAGCAAGAAGACTTCAGTGGGCTCAAGAAAGAATTTACTTCAGATGTCCCAGACCTACGCAGTGTGGACTTCGGGGACTGCATTTCTTCCCTGAAGGTGATTGGCCAACCGTGGATAGCCTTTCCTGATCCAGACTATAAAGGGGTGCCTGCTGCGTATGAGGAAGGTGAACACAAAAGTCTCTCCTTAAACAATCAAATTTCTTCTCTCCGTCTTGTGACTGAAGACTTGGAAAATCCTCAGATCACACTTTATGAGCACCCTAATTATGAAGGGGTAAGTAAAGTGATCACTGAGGAAACCGACCTGACTTATGGCTATTTTAATGATAGGGCATCTTCTCATGTTGTCCAAAAAGGTGCCTGGCTCCTCTATGAACATTCACGTCGAAAAGGTTGGTTCTGTGTAGCTCGGGAAGGAACTAAAAATCCTAATTATGGTCCGCTATTTAATTTTCATGATAAATGCTCCTATGTATATCCCCTTAAAGGTGGCCGGGCATCTGTTGCTGCCAAGATCTTGTGGGATCTCAAGAAAATAGAGAGTGAGAGGGAAGTGGTGCTCGATGAGATTATTGGTATTAACAACACAGATTATGAACAGACATTCACCAGCATCAACAGCAGAGTGTATGAGGTAGCCACAAAACATAGCTTCAAATTCATGGCTCCCACCCTTCAGATAGATGAGAAGTTCAGCTTAAACATAGATCCAAGCACTACCCTCACTGTGGAGAAAGAAAAACCAGATTCTATGGTTACTTCCGACAAAATTGAGGTGACGGTATCTGTCAAGATCCCACCACATTCAGAACTGATCGTCCAGGTGATCAAGAAGGTGGTCACGGCCTCAGTTCCTGTGGAGATGAGCATCATCAGAAACAGGAAAACAAAAACAGAAATTGGGGAGTATCGCAGCATGTCTGGACGTCAGGTCAGCACTAAATACACCATGAAGCCAATTGTAGTGAAAAAGAAAACATAGAGCCAGTAAACCAGCATAATCAAAATGACCATGTCAGCCACCTCATCTTTGTTGTGAAATGAACATCAAATATGACTATACTGATGTCAGAAGCTAAATTTATTGAGATTTATTTCCTGACCCTCCCTCCTCAACTTATCCTCTTCCATGGATATGAGAATGCTTTATCTCTTGAAGTGGATGTCCAATTACAGGCTCTATGATACATTTACAGTATATCCACCAGCCTGCTGAGGTTATCTCACACATGAACACTCTGTGTTGTTTGCCTTTGTCAATTAGTGTGGCGTTCACCCTTATTATGTTAATAAGTCATGCATTATTCATGTTTTATGCTGATATGGTTGAGAGGTGGGGGCCACTAGAGATGTTAAAAGGCAGAGCCAGAAAGGGAACTGGGGTTTTTTACAGTCTGAATCAGAGGAAGAGAGAGAGAGAGAGAGAGAGAGAGAGAGAGTTAGTTGTGAATCTGAGGTATGATTAGTCTGAGGAGTAAGATAATATAGAAAATTTTTATTGATGCTTGATGAACCTGAAGAAGATACTTATGAATTATTATAGAAACATCTGTAATCAATAAACCTGTTTTATTCAAAAGACTGTTCCTTAGTAAAGTACATTGATTTAGTAATCAACTCGGGGCAGTGTGTGAAAAGGTTTTGGTTTTTTTTTGCCTTAGTGAGCTCTCTGTTTTGGGGAGACAAAGGGGCAAACATCACAATAAGGTATCATCGTGTTTGGCTCAAATTAACTATCTGTATTTGTTTTTTCCCCACAGTACAGTGGATTGAAAGGTTCAGCATTGTATGTGCATGTATGATTATGTTCTTTGCTGATGGCTTACACAGAATGCCCCTGCATTAGCCAAGGAGGGCCTGGGGGTGACACAGGGCGGCTTTGCAATTCATAAGCTGAACCATGCAAAATGCAAGGGCAGCATGAAGAAGGGTGTGCCTATATACACTATGCCACATATCAGGCTTTGCTGCACTCCTTTTTTCTCATCCTGCTCCACACTCACTGACACGTCTTGTTTCTGCACTGATGGCTCCTGATACCCCTGCTTTTCCTCTGCCCACTTTCCTTCCCACCCTCTCTTCCTCTTTAGGCTGGAGAAATTCTAGAAAACATGCATAAATGTTTTTTAAAGGAGCCATTTTTGTCTTCTTCTGGCCAAGCAAGGGTGGGAGGAGAAGAAGCCGTTGAGTCTTGCTGCTTCCTTAGTCCAATAATGTGAATCATGAAGGAAGGGTGGCAACACCGAATTATCCACAGGAAAGAACAACAATTGGAAAGCATTGCAGCGCTGGAGCATTTTTCTAAATCTGTAGGGATGCAGTGCTAATCGCATTCCTAACAGGAATGTATTTATTGATTATTTCAATTTGTATACCACACCCATTAGTGCCAGAGCACTACTCTGGGTGGTTCACATATAGATACATAGTCATAACAAATAAATGAAAACTATCCAACAAACAATCCACATAAAAACTAAAGGCACCAGAAGAAAGAGAATACTAAACAAAATAAATCATAAAGTAAGGGTAACAATCACTGGATGGAGATGTAAAATCAGCCCTGGCTCAGCTCTTGGGTTGAGGATTCCTAGCAAGAAGGCTTTTTTATCCAGCCGTGCAATCCGTAAAGCAGCGGTCTCAGACTCAATTTACCTGGGGGCTGCTGGAGGCAGAGTCTGGGTGAGGCTGGGCCGCATCAGATTTTCCACAAGAAAAAAAATTCCAATCTTCTCAAATCTCTTTATTTTTTAACACAAAATAAGATGAAAAAAAATTAAGAATTAATAAGAAAATAAATAAATAAATAAATCAGCAAACAACAACAACAACAACAACAACAACAATAATAATAATTCTCTAGTGAGCGACTATGTGTGGTTTCTTCAGTCTCCTATATCTGCTGTATTCAGATTCAAATGTCTGCTTCTGAACATGTGGGCGCTTTGGGGGGCAGGTGGGACCCAGCCCCTACGCGGCGGGGAGAAAGCCCCATGCTTGCCAAGTAGGTGCTGCCGCTGCTCCCGCTCCTTAAACTTTCATATTAAGGCAGGGGCTACAAACTATCATCCCATGGGCTGCAATTGGCCCCCGGGCCGCATGTTTGAGACCCCTGCTGTAACTCCTTCTGCAGTCCCCTGTTCCCCCTCAGCAACCTCTGTGTTTAAAAGACACATCCCTCCCACAATAGATAGTGAGTATACCTATGCAAAAGACCCAGCAATCATAAACCGACAGGCAAATGAGCAAAGAAATTTCATCCCTTTCCCTTCACTCTGTCAAGCAAGAAGCCTGGCCCTCACCTTTGTGTATCCCGCCTGAAAGGGTGATTCCTTTGTAGTGTCACTCACTTCAATGTTGCCCCTGCTGGTGGTGAGCCCACCCCTGAAGACGTTTCAGTTGTAAGATGTCTTCTCTCCCAGTCAAGAGGCACATACCAGTGGAAGAGGAAGATGGAGACATCCGCAAAAAATTGAAATGTTGCTATGTGTGTCCAGAAGGGGGGCAATAATGACAATAATTTACAATGACAATAATTTATTGTCATTGTAAGTATATACACAGTATACCATACAACGAAATTCACAACAGAGAGAGACCTAAAAGCAGAAGCCTTGGTGGCGCCAAATCCCTGAGGGAGAAGACTGCCGGGCAGAGAGAGGGCTCCCCTTCTGGACGTGTGGGCACTTTGGGGGGGCAGGTGGGACCCAGCCCCTACGCGGCGGGGAGAAAGCCCCATGCTTGCCAAGTAGGTGCTGCCGCTGCTCCCGCTCCTTAAACTTTCATATTAAGGCAGGGGCTACAAACTATCATCCCATGGGCTGCAATTGGCCCCCGGGCCGCATGTTTGAGACCCCTGCTGTAACTCCTTCTGCAGTCCCCTGTTCCCCCTCAGCAACCTCTGTGTTTAAAAGACACATCCCTCCCACAATAGATAGTGAGTATATCTATGCAAAAGACCCAGCAATCATAAACTGGCAGGCAAATGAGCAAAGAAATTTCATCCCTTTCCCTTCACTCTGTCAAGCAAGAAGCCTGGTCCTCACCTTTGTGTATCCCGCCTGAAAGGGTGATTCCTTTGTAGTGTCACTCACTTCAATGTTGCCCCTGCTGGTGGTGAGCCCACCCCTGAAGACGTTTCAGTTGTGAGGCGTCTTCTCTCCCAGTCAAGAGGCACATACCAGTGGAAGAGGAAGATGGAGACAGCAGACTTACAGTCAGGTCTAAAGGCAAAGTGCCACAGGGACAGCATGAGGCAGTTCTAGGAGATAATATGATGACTAAAATCCTATTGGGAAAAACCACACATGTGAGGACAAAGTTGTAGGAGATAATATAATGACTAAAATCCTATTGGGAAAAACCACACATGTGAGGACAAACATGCATTTTTTCTTCTTTGTTTGCCATCTGCTGTGCGGCTATAAGTGCTTAAGCAGGAGTATGAGTATTTCTCACTCAAGGAAGCAGAGGAGAAATAAAGTACCTGGGATATCTAGTTGGAGGAGGAAAGATCAAGCCCTAGATGATAAAATAGAGGCAATTGACAAACGAGGTATCCCTAAGTCCAAAAAGAAAATCCGTTCCTTCCTTGGACTAGCTGTATACTATCGACGATTCGTACCCAGCTTTAGTGGGATAGCTGCGCCTCTGTCCAATTTGGCTAAGAAGAAGCAAGCCGAGACCATCATATGAACTCCAGAGTGCCAAGATGCCTTTGGACAACTAAAGCCAGCGCTGACATCGAGACCCATTCTGATGGCACCTGACTTCGAGAAGGAGTTCACTATTTACATGGATGCATTGAATGCTGGACTGGAAGCTGTTCTTTGCCAGATGGACGTCAATGGGACTTTTCACCCAATAACATATATAAGCAAAAATAAACCCCTGTATCCTAATGAGAGAAAAAGTTTGGGGGTTTGAGGCAGAGAGAGAGTGTTTAAGGAGTGATTAGTCAGAGTGCGAAGAGGTTAAAATAAAATACTGAAGCTTTGTGTAACTTTAAGAATGTGCTTAAGAACTACAGTGGTGCCTCGCTTAATGAGGATAATCCGTTCCAGCAAAATTGCTGTATAACGAAATCCTCATTAAGCGAAATAAAAAAGCCCATTGAAGCGCATTGAAAACACTTCAGTGCATTCCAATGGGCTGAAAACTCACCGTCCAGCGAAGATCCTCCATAGGGGCGGCCATTTTCGCTGCCTGTAAAGCGAGGAATCCATCCTAGAAAACAGCGGCAGGCCATTTTGTACACCCAGTGGCCATTTTGAAACCCGACGATCAGCTGTTTTAGATCAGCGTAATGTGAAAATCGGTTCCCGAGGCAGGGAACTGATCACCGTGGAGGGGATTTTTCCCATTTAAACCATCATTTTGCGATCACAAAAACCTAATCGTCAAGCAATTTCCTCGTTAAGCAAGGCAATCATTAAGCGAGGCACCACTGTATTCCTAAAATAACTTGTAATCAATCAACCTGTTTCTGTTCAAATGTTAAGTACTGAATGGACCTCAGTCTTTCATAGGAAATATAGCTGGTAAAGCGAGGACAACAGCGTGTTGAGATACCTTCGTGAGCTATGTGTTTGGTGAAACAAGCAGGGGCCCCGGGGTAAATGTCACAGCCACATTTACTCTTCTCATGAAACATTCCCATATTGCACAGCACTCAAATGTTTCATCTCTAGGCTTTGGTTGCAGCTGCCTTTCCCCTTGGCCTCAAAAGAAGAGCTTCCTCTTTGCCTTTGCCTTGTACGGAGGCTACAAACTACGTCCTGGGGCCACCAAGGCCAACCCACCAATGAACGTTTTACAGAAATTAACAAAAGTTAAGGCAGTCAGAAGGATGTAAATGGAGAACGGTTGTTGTTATCATTGTGATTAGGAACATAGATTTGCATGTCCCTTTCTGTAAACACCAGAAAATAAAGCTGTGTAGCTGTTCAGACAGCACAAGTCGGAATGGCTAGATCTGCCCTTGCATGCAAATATATACTTTTTGCCCCTATAATAGGGAGGGACAGCAGCACCTTCCCTCATAATTGGGTGAGGGGGTGCTCATGGGCTGCACAATTATTCTTTAACCCTTTGGCTATGTTTCTTGACTTCAGTGAATTTTGGCACTTTTAAAACGTATTGTGGTACTTGACTAAATTAAGACAATGTGGAGGAACAGCAATAAAAAATGGCCTGGGCTTCACCTGTGATCCCTTGAAGTGTCTCTATATCAGATCTTCAGTACAGCAACAGTAAGAGAGAGAGAGAGAGAGAGAGACTCATAACTGTTACGTCCTCTAACTTGAGTCGATAAATATTGATTAATATATTAAGCAGCACTAAAAGTTTGTTATACATTATGAAAATACTGTGGGCAACTGCAGAGCTGAAGTTGACATAAACAGCAGCAGGACCGGCAGGATGTAATATAAAAGAGATGGGATCTAGTTCACCTATACAGGTCCAAGTAATAAGAGTTGCAGGACAGTAAGATGCCTTGGCAATGCATGCACGGAACCTATTCCTTTGCTGTTCTAGGAATTGTTCCTTTTTTTTTCAGAAGCAGAGGATTGAGTGTCTCAAGTCTGCTTCATAGAACTGTTTCCAAATTGGGGTACCTTTATCTGTTGATAGAAAACTCATAATGCAGAGCCTCCAGTCTCACCTGGATCAGCATATTTGCTCCAGACAGAAGCATCAAGAAAGTTAGGGTGCAAGCAGATAGCGATTCAACATACTTTCTGGAGCTGCTCTTTTTTCTGGACCTGGGCTTGAGCGATTGGAACCAGACTGCACATGGAAGGAAGGGTCATTCTGAAGGGTAGTGACCCTTTTCCACACAATCCAACATGATTCTTACATTGCTGCCTGATCACATCCTTAGTTACATGATAGCCCTGTTCGTTTGCATAGTTTGACTAAGAATTCATTACCATAATTCCCCTTGCATTAAAAAGTATCCTACAGATCGAATACCTGGACTTTCCATCTCAGCTCAACCACTGTGAGCGTGTTCACCCTTACAGCTGTGTGTGCAAGAAGCAGATACTCTGGAGAGATGCCTTTTCCACAGGTCGCTGCCTTTCTTATAGCTGTAGCTGACTTCGCCCTCGGAGGGCTCATCTCCAATGGCTTCCTGGTTACAATGATGGTGATGGAATGGGCAAAATGCAAGAGGCTGAGTTCCAGCGGACAACTTCTTCTGAGTGTGGGTATATCCAATATTTGTGCTACTGTTTCAGTGGTTGTAAATTTGACTGTTGTGTTACATACACAAAACTCTGTCAACAGTTTATGGTTCCATATAATCTTCTCCTTCAGTGTCTCTGTCGTATGCTTCAGATTCTGGCTCTCTGCTTGGCTGTGTGTCTTCTATTGCATCAAGATAGTGAACAGCACTTGGTCCTTCATCCTTTGGTGCAAGCAGAGGATCTCATGGCTTATCCCTCGGCTTCTGGTGGGAGCTCTACTTGTCTCCTTCATTTCATCTTTTTCAGGTTTCATAACTCTTGCGTATACTCCATGGAGTAGCGTAACAAGCAACGTTACTAATGGGACCCAAGGGAAGAAAGAGATAGATTATTTGAGTTCTTTCAAACTGTTAGTAATTATTACTGGAAATGTTTGCCCCTTTGTGGTGGTTTTACTTTGCACCATCCTGTCGGTTGCTTCACTCTGCCGGCACCTCCATCACATGACAAGCGGAGAACCCAGGTTCCAAAGCTTCCAAACAAAAGCTCATATCAAGGCAATTGGAACATTGGTCTCCCTCTTCTTTCTATATATTTCATGGATTTTAGCAAGCACTTTGCTTTATGCTGAAATTCAGACAGGAGAAATAATAGATGCTTTTTCAGCATCAGTGATGATTTTCTACTCTCCAGTTCAAGCAGTCATCCTGGTGCTGGCTAACCGCAAACTAAATCAAGCAGCTACTCAAATACTTCAAAGAACACAGATGTGAGGAGGACCAAACTGGAAGAAATGTTTATCATGTTTGTCATGATGATGGGATATGTAGTCAGAGAAATGTAAAATGGAGTTAGACAGGTTCTGTGTGAAGATGATTTGAGAGATATTGGAATCTGTTTTTCTAAGTACCATGAGAGTGTTTTCCTGAAGTCTGTTACAGCCTGGTCCAAGACAGCGATGAAGGCCGAATTGAGAGGCCCGTGGAAGACTCAGCATTCCGAGCTAGTTGGAGAAGAGATAAACAACACCTGGACTCTCATGGGAATAAGGGAAAGAGAGAGGTGGTACAGCCTCTTGAAGCTAATTGGTTAACAGCTAGAATGGCCAAGAAGAAAGGAGGAGTTAGAGAGGTAGAAAATGGATGATGGGTTATGTAGAAATGAATTCATTCAATTCAATAAAATGATACTGAAAGCTGAATGGAGTGCTGTTCTGATCTGGTTTCAATTCCATGAAGGAGAGAGGACATAAAGAGAAAGAAGGAGGTGGGGCTAGCCCACCATAGCTCGCCTTAGATCAGCTTAGTAGTGTTTTATTATTTTAATGGGAAATAGTTATTTTATTTAACTGCAATGATCTTTGAATATGTTCTTGATGCTAAAGCTTATGCAATATAAACTGATTCTATGAAACTCTATTTTTCTAATAAAATTAATTAGAAAAATTCTACAAAAGGACTGGTCTCTTGAGCAGCAGGGTCTGGCTAAATGCAGGAGGTGGAGAGGGCCACAAACTAGCTATCTTTTAAGAGTCCTACCTAACTGAGCTTTAGTCAGTTTTAAGGAATCACAAAGCCCATGTGTCTGTACTTATGAAGTACTGAGTTTTTAAGGTCAGACTTGTTCAAAGGGCAGATAAGTCACATTGCTGAGGTCCTGGGACTTGCTCCAGTGCAAAGGTGGTAGATAAGTGGCCTGTCAAACTCTCTGGCCAAATGCCAGCAGCCCTTTAGGGGGTCCGGTGCATCACAATGTTTATCACCCTTGCATGCTTGATTTTATAAAACTAAACTGTCTGCAGCAGGAGGTATCATGAAGGAATCCTTAAACAACTTTTTCCTGCCAATATCTTGGTTGGACAGAAATAAAAATTACAACTCTACCTACTTCTTATTTCCATTTTGCTTTTACCTATCTGCAACAAAAGAACAAATGGGCAATTAGGTTAATGACCGCATAAAGGAAATCAAAACTTTGAGTTCGCAAGCGCTGAGCAGAGCTGCTGAAGGTAAGATGTTCTGGAGGACACTCATTCTGAGCAGAGCTGCCATTGATAAGGTGTTGTGGAGGGTTCTCGTTCTTTGGGTTGCTAGAAGCCAGAAAAAACTTGATGGCTACTATGATGGCAACAACAATACCGGCAAGTTAAATTAGCATCTAAAAGGTGGACAAAAAGACAAGACATTTATACAAAACTGATCTCTGTTCATCTGTTATTGGAATGCCTCCAGACAAAATTGATCTTTGTAAGTTCTAGGGCAGGGGTGGGCAATTAATTTCTATAGGGGGGCCACATGAAAAATCTAAACTGTCTTCGGGGGCTGAACCAACTTTACTTAAAAATAAAATAAAACAGTGATGTTATGATTGTTTTTATTTTAAACTTGTTAATCTTCACAAATACTAAAGAGGTTTTTTGCAGTATGTTAAAGATAAGCAACTGATCAACTTTAGACAAAAAGCTATAAATGGTTTTGATGTCCGGTGAGCTGGACAGGAGCGGCTCACGGGCCGGATGTGGCCCCCGGGCCGCACTTTGCATGGGTCTGTTCTAGGGTATATGTAGTTCGGAATAAAATGCACCATGTTTGCCTGTTTCTTTTTGTGAAAAGAATAACAAAATTGTTACCTACCAAAATGTATTTGCTCATGAAATTGCATTTATTGCATAAGGTTCAAAAATTATCTGATAGATTCCTTTGCACTCAAAGCAAGAAGCCTCTCCCTGCCTTGTATGACAGGCTCTTACGCACATTCCAGGGGGCTACGGAAACATGAAGACATTTGAAGATGTGATTTCTCAGGTATCTAACAAAAGGTCCTCTCCAATGTCAACTTACAGCTGCAACCACACAGATGCAAATGCCAAATGGATACAGTTACCATTATGCTCTATGAGGGATAAACTTTGCATTTCTGTAAATAACAATAAACAAATCTCTTCAGGCAGTAAAGATTCAAACACCTGCCAGCCTCTGGGGGATAAAATAAATAAATAAAATTATTTATTTATTTAACTTATATGCCACCCACTCTACCCAAAGCTCTCTGGGCGGCTTACAATAATTAAAATACAATTAAAAAAACCAATACAATTAAAATAGATACTCTAAAAATTGCCATCAGGACGCACAGTTGATATTATTTCAATTAAAAGCCTTCTGGAACAGGAAGGTTTTGACCTGGCGCTAAAATGTCATCAGCATCGGCGCCAGATGAATCTCAGTTGGGAGGGCGTTCCATAGTCTGGGGGTAGCTGCTGAAAAGGCCTTTTCTCTACCAGCCATCCCTCTTATCTCCTTGAGGGATGGCTCTTTCAAAAGGGCCCCCTGGCTAGATCTTAACTGCTGTAACTATCATGAGACTCCGCTCATCCAGGTAGGACCGTAGCTGGTACAATTTCCGCAGCTGAAGGAAGGCGCCCCTGGCCACCGAGCCCACCTGGGCTCCCAGAGTTAGACTGGGGTCCAGGAACACCCCCAGGCTATGGACCCTGTCCCTTCAGGGGAGTGTAACCCTGTTCAGGGCAGGGAAATGGCTCTCCGTCCTGTCCAGCGAAGCACCCACTAACAGCACTTCCATCTTGTCTGGATTGAATTTCCATTTATTAACCCTCATCCATTCCATTATCTGGTCCAGACATGAGTTCAGCACAGAGACCGCCTCACCTGGATTGGTGGAAAATGAGAGGTAGAGCTGAGTGTTGCCAGCATATTGCTGACTCCTCAGCCCAAACCTCCTGATGACCTCTCTCCATGTAGAAATTAAACAGCATAGGGGACAGTATTGAGCCCTGAGGAACCCCATGACATAAATGCCATGGGACAGAGCAACTATCCCCCAGCACCACCCTCTGGACCCGGCCAGCCAGGAAGGAGCGGAACCACCGTAAAGCAGTGCCCCCAACTCCCAACCCAGCCAGCCTATCCAGAAGGACACCATGGTCCATGGTGTCGAAAGCTGCTGAGAGGTCCAGGAGTATCAACAGGCTCACACTCCTCCTGTCTCTCTCCCGGCAAAGGTCATCGTATAGGGCAACCAAGGCAGTCTCCGTACCAAAACCCGGCCTGAAACCTGATTGAAATGGATCCAGAAAATCCGTTTCATCCAACAACACCTGGAGTTGCCCAGCCACAACCCGCTCCAACACTTTGCCCAAATAAGGGAGGTTCGTCACTGGTCGGTAGTTAACCACCAGCCTTGGGTCCAGGTTAGGCTTTTTAAGGAGTGGCTGAATTACCACCTCTTTCAAGGTGGTAGGGACCACTCCCTCTCTCAAAGAGGCGTTCACGGCCTCCTGAACCCAGGTGCGAACCCCCCTGGCTGATCTTCTAATTAGCCAGGATGGGCAAGGGTCGAGCGGAGTGAACGGGCAGATCCAAGCACCCTGTCCACATCCTCAGGTCTCAACAGTTAAAACTCATCCATTAATATTTGACCTAAGCACGGCACCCTGGACACATCCTCTGATTAAGGATTAAATTAAGACCCTCCACATGGTTCTGGACTACAACACGCATAATCTCACATAATTTGCTATATTAGCGAGGACTGGAAACCAACCATAGCATTCTCCAAGACTTCTTTGGGACCAAAGAACACCCGGTGTTTTTCCTCATCCCGTGGCTGAAGGGCCAGCAGTAGCAGCCGCACACCCTCCACTGGCCCTGGGAAGGGCCATCAGATGGAAGCCACCAGCTTTCTCTCAACAAGGCAGTCTCCTCCCCTTTGTCACATGACACCATGCTTGTGACTAGCTGCTTGGGGCCAGCCACCTACCTCACAGGGTCCTTGTGAAGACAACATCAGCCGAGGAAGGGACCCCATGTACAGTGCTTTTCGCTCCTTCGAGGAGAAGTAGGATTTAAAGGCAATACATAAATAAGACATGGATTAAATGGGATCCTAAGGAAGGCACAAAAACAACATTATTCACTCAGCAGACCAGCTTTTCCCCTCATAGAGCATTTGGATATTACAGATAACCCATTCCACTGAAATCGATGTTTAGTGAAATTATTGCCTAGCGAAAAGCATTTCCCCATTGGAATGCATTGAAACCTGTTTAATGCATTCCAATGAGGAAGGATCGTCGTTGTCTAGCGAAGATCAGCCATAGGAAAGCCGCTTTGTGAACCGCCGATCAGCTGTTTAAATCAATGTCTTGCAAAGCTTAGGTCCCGAAAACACCTGTTTTGCGAGTGCAGAGGGAGCTGTCAAAATCATTGTCTAGCGAAAATTGGTTTGTGATGCAGGGACATTGTCCAGCGAAATTCAGGGTTGATTTCTTTCAAAATGGATAAGTTTGTTCTCTTTGCAGTCTGGGGAATCTCAAGAGTCTCCTCCAGCACCTGAATTAGAAAGCATCAGTTCTTCGGTGGTCAGCCGTCTTTACGTCCAGCTCTCACTTCCATACATCGCTACTGGAAAAACGATAGCTTTGACTATGCAGACCTTTGTCAGCAATGTGATGTCTCTGCTTTTTAAGATGCTATCGAGATTTGTCATTGCTTTCCTCCCAAGAAGCAGGCGTCCTTTAATTTTGTGGCTGCTACCACCATCTGCAGTGATCATGGAGCCCAAGAAAGTAAAATCTGCCACTGCCTCCATATCTTCCTCTTCTGTTTGTTAGGAGGTGATGGTACCAGTTGCCATGATCTTAATTTGTTTGATGTTGAGCTTCAGACCATTTTTGGTGCTCTCCTCTTTCACCACCATTAAGAGGTTCTTTAATTTGTCCTCACTTTCTGCCATCAGAGTGGTATCGTCTGCA